AGAAGAACAGAAGAAATGCCTTCTTCTGTTCCTTTTCCAATTATCACTCATTAGACGAAGCAGATTCAGAGCACAGCGCTCGCTGTGTGTCATAACGTCCTGGCTTCACGGGGCTCCGGCTCCCTCATTGTTTGTCTGGATGGACAGGAGGGGAGGGCGGGGAGGCAGAGGGCAGAGCTGGACATGACACCCTCCTCCCAGCTGTGTTTTCACCAACCCTCCACTTCCTGTCCACTGATGCCCTCGTAGGCACAGCTGCACCTACAACACGACGGCTAGACTGAGGAACGCCAGGCAATCAGTCGCTGTAAGCCTTTTGCTGATTTGGACTCTGTTAAGGAGTCCAGACCTTAACAGAGTCCAAATCAACTAAAGTCTGAGCTAAACATCCAGGAATTCAAAGATCGACTGCTATAAGATCTCCTTTTAAGCACAACACGAGGCCACCTATGCACCTAAAGACAGATCAACTTAGCATGAATATTTAGAGAATGCCGTAAAACTGGAAAGCAAAGTGACCTGCAGAAGCAACAAAACCTGAACGTTTTTAACCTTTTCTCAGGTTACACACACAATTTTAATCTTTTTCATTTGAATTTTACATATCGGACCAACACAAATGGTCCTTAAGAGGGAAATTGAATATATATTGTTTCAGTTTTATTTGTAAAACTTTGCTTTGATTCCTCTAAATGAAGTCCAAGTTCGATTCTGAATTGCCTTCAGAAGTTACACAATGACCACAACATGACGCTGAAGCACGGTAGTGGCAGCATCATGTTGGGAAGATACCTTCTTTTCAGCATGCAGAGCTGAGTAAGAAGAAAACATTTGGGACGCTGTGAAAGATTTGAGACTGGCGACCGTTTGATCAAATGTCTGAAAGTCCAGTCCCCAAGACTCACAGTCAGCTTTTAAATACAACTCTTCACACGTGTTGGAAACGTTGCTGGAGGTGAATATTCTGGGTTTATTCAAAACATGTCTATGTGTTAGAATGCCTCAGTCAAAGTCCAGACTTTAATCCAATTGAATCCATGTCCAGGCTTGAAAGCCGACGTTCGTAGGCCATCAGATCTTGATTCAGAATGGGTTGTCTATCGAGTTACGTGTGTGTGTGGGGTGTGATGACCAAAAACTTTGCTTTAATCTGCATTTCCTTCATTTGTAGTAGTCAAATAAAAGTAAATTAGATTAATTGTGACTCTGTTCACAGCAACAGCAAAACTTTCGCAGTTCAGTCTCCTGAATTGTGCACGATATTGGCTTTTACTACAAAGTACACAGATCAATACAGGGAAAACAGGTTATAGTTTAAACAGCAGGGGGAAAAAAAATATTTTCAGTCCACAAGCTGCTTAGTCAAGGATGGGCTGATACTGAATTCATGAATGTGACACATCCGGCTTTTAGCACAAATTCAGGACCACAGTGGAAGGGAGTCATGTGACATGCTTATGAAGTCGGTGTTTCATGAGAATATGAGCCCAAGTGTAGCGTTTCAGCCCATGCTTGAGAGAGCAAAGCACGAGCTGCATTGCATGTATATGACCTTTGATTTATGATGTTCTGCTCTCCCCGCTTTGCACTCTGCTGTGCCGTGGTGTTCCCAAACAAATGCCGCTGGAAATGCGGTTCACACGGACCGAACGGTAAGAAAACAGAGAGTGGGATATTACAATCGGCAGTGAAAGGAGAGACATTTTTGGGATCTATAATTGTTACACTAAACAATCCACCTAATCAGCTTTTCACATTTTAGTGAGATTGAGGGGGGGGGGGCATTATAAATTCCAACTTCCTCTGGATTTACTCTGAGTGTGTGAAAATAAAATCATGGGACCAAGGCCTTGAGCTAAAGATCATTCATTAAAAAGCACTACTGCGAGTCTGAGGGAGAAATCTACACAAACTGGACAAAGCCACCATAAAAATGTTTTTTTTTTCCCCTTTCTGTTTTACAGGTAGCTACTGAGGAGACATCAGGTTTAACAGGGACGATGATATCCCTGTCAATAAAAAAACAGGAGCTGGCCAGACATGTGTACATATCGGGGGGAGGAAGTCGGGTGTCTATTTGTGCACAGCTAGTGAACGTGCTGCCGCGGCCTCGCCTCAGAAAGCACGCTCTCATGCCAGTCTGTCATATGGTGTCAGTGTTTCCCGTGTGTAATTACAGCTGGGGTAGTGGGAATAACAAAAGACAGTCGGCTAATGTGATGGTGACCTTTGACAAAGGAGGCATTCAGCTTCCTGCCACCATAACTGGAACGGACAGTGCACTCAGCAAGAGACAAATTATCCATAATCGTGCATCCCATGATTTAACGGCATAAGGATTTTTACTGTATATTGCTGATTATTGTGACAGTTCAGCCTTGATCCTTGTATTTGCTTTTGTAGAGACAAATTACTGGTAAACAATGAACTGTTATTAGAAGCCTGTACTTCCAGGTCCTTGATTATAAGCAGGGTTGCTATTTCCTTTTGGATTTAAAAGAAGCGTACGGCTTAATGGTAATCCTAATTTTTCCCACTAGCAGCAACGGAAATTATTCGTGTTGGTCTCTGTGTTTGTAGTTGTAATGCAGCAATGAAAGAGTCTCCACCCTGAGGTTGGGGAGGTTTATTATTTGAGCCACAGTGTTGTTTGGACGGAAAGAATTGTGGGAAACATTCTCACCATTTCAGTCACATGAACCACATCGACCTCCATAACTTTCTCTTTGTACATTTTTTTTGCAGGAACCATGCTAGCAAAAATGATTTGCCATTTCACAGATTTTCTCTGTTTTTACTGTTTTTATCATCACACTGTTATAATTATAGGGCACTGTAATTTCTGCTACGCGCAAAATGCGGACAGAATCACGGAATTTAATAAACAAAATGGAATCCACAAGAAAACGCGGAATTTCACAGAATTAGCCGTCATCAGCGAGAAGGGAAGGATATACTTCCTTTGGTGTTTTAGCCGCTACGTCTCCCTCATCTGCTGTTACCTGGTTAGACAGGGCTCAGCTCTCCCGTCCACACAAACAGAATAATCCGGTCAGAAACACTGATGTCTTCTCAAAAAAAAAAAAAAAAATCAATGCTTAGCGTAAGTTACAGGGCCAGTGAGTTTTATGAAACAGAAGAAAACTCAACAGCTGCAGTTGCAGGAACATGAGAGCTAAACTCTGACAGTAATCACTCCACTGGAGATATTTGTGACAGATGGGAGAAATAAAAATGAATACAGGCCGTGATCACTATTGACATTTTAGAGAACTTCATGCTTCACTCCTTAGACAAGCTTTATGGATGTGCTGATGTCATTTTCCAACAGGAACTGGCACCTACCCACGATGCCAAACGGCGCTTTAACGACCACATGGCACCACAACCACCAACACCCTCACATGACCCAACAAGAATCTGAGGAGGATCGTCAAGAGGAAAAGAAGAGGCAGAAAAATCAACCCTGCAGAGAAACTGCAGGTCGCTCGCCCATATGTCTGCATTAAACTTTCTTTTTTATTGTTTTTATTTACAGTTCAAATGACCTGAAAAAATTATCATTTACAAGTGCAATTTCTGAGTTGTATCTTTAAATGTGGCATGAAATTAAAAGGCCAGTTCTGTACACATATTTATCTATGTAAAAGTGACTTCAATATGACAAGCCCTTTTTTTTTTTTTTTTTCAATTTTGGTCTCTGAGTAACTATTTTCAAAGCCCCTACCTCTAAAATGTTCCAGCCAAGAAGCCAAACAGACATTTTAACACCCTTAAAAACAACAAAAACCCAGATCATGAGCATCAACTGTACTGAGGCGATCAGCGTTTTCAGGTTCAGTATAACATTGCAGTCAGAAAGCAGAGGTCATTTTCTACCAGAAACCTGTGAGTTTTACACATGCTTCGAACATCCACACCCCATAAATCACTGCCTATAAGGTTCGGTAACTTAAGCATCTGCTCAGCCGTTGTCTTCTGAACTAAACGAATAATGTAGGACTGAGTAATGCTTATGATATTTCATGGATTGGTATATTTCTTAGCGGTGTTAAGCTGAAGAATCTGTATGTTTCCATTAAGACACATTTCCGTTGAGCCCATAACAAGGTTTTTTCCTCTAATGCTGGATCAGCATGCAGGGACCAAAACAAATCAGGCTCTGTCAAAGGCTTCTCTTATTTAGTATTCGAATATCTAAATTTATCCTACCAATCATAAGCAACTTACCTTTCTTGTAAATATATGAATGTCTACTATTTGTAAATTATTACAAGTCAGATAAGAAGTCTGAGCATTATGCCAAGGCAAGTGAAAGTCACTTTAAAAACTTATTCAATAAAAACAAACACATCCAAACACAAAGACCTCAACCTGATGGTTTCTAACAGGGTCTGAGCTCAGCACAAGCTTTAATTCTACTTAGGATGACTGGAATAAAGTTAAAATTTCAAAATGTGTTAATAAGAAAAAATAATTAATTAGGAAAAATTTGCTAAATAATAAAAGGAATTTGGTCGCTTTTATGTATAAAAAGGTAATATTTTTCTGTTTGAGTTTTTTTGGTATTATTGCAACCTATCTGGCTGGACTACAACAAAAAAAAAAACCCTGCTACTGTAAATGGAAATGTTGGTTATTCTGAATGCAACAGCCAGCTAATGTTGCTGTTCATTATTTGTTGTTGATCATTACTTGCGCTCTAGTGGTTTCCAGATTTGCAGCAGAGAGTTTATAGATTGAAGCTCAGTTAAAAAATGTTCTGTATTGCTGGTCAGAACATTTTAGGCATCAAGGCAGAAATATTCTTCCCCCACCTGCTAACTGTGCATCAATTCATTAGCATAGAGGGTGTGGAGATGTCCGGA